GTTTCACTTTTTGTGGTGACCTTTCCTCTTGCATTGACTCATGACTAACCCACAAAATTCAGTCAGTTCTGATGAACTGTCAGTATAATTTTGTTTCCATATTTCCCATCTCAATGAGACTTACATACATTAACCCAGTGCAAAGAATAGTGTTGGTTAGTGTTATTTAGTAAAAAATACTCCAGTAGTTTAATTTATTTGATATATTGATCAAGTGCTCCTTCCTCAGTTGTGATGTTCTCAGTCTATAAGTGTATCTGCATTTAAGGACTGATGCTGAGGAGTTTGAATGGGAAAAAATCTGCTGGACTGTTGTCATGTGAAAATTGTAAATGTAATACATGTGATGTGGATCTAACTTTGACGTTTAACAAATTTAATTGTATTAGTATAGCACTGTTGTGATTATTATACCTTAAGCATGGCACCATTAAATGTTGTGCTTTTTGGCATTCAATTAATTTGGGGAAATATTGAATATTAATATTAAATCATTTGAATTGATAAAGCTAAATCAGGACACCACCCTTCAAAGGAAGGGAAAAGATAGCCAATGTATTGATTTAGTCTCATGAAATTACTGACTACAAATTTGGAATTCTGAAGCCCAGTGCTGTTACCCGTCCATGAAAAAAAGGGAAAGGTCCTTTTCGAAGTCCAGTGAAGTGATCTAGTTGATTTGTGGCTCCTGTCATGCATCTGCTGGTCAGGCTTTGTGTTGTGGCCAATTGCTCTTGCTGAAGTTTTTAGGCATGCTCTTGCATTGCTGCCTATTGGAAGGTTTTAGCAGTCTGCTTCAGGCAGGCCTGCTTGAAGTTGGAGAGCTTGCAGGTAGCACCGCTGTACCTACTCCTCCGGGAGAGGTCAGTAGGAAAGAGAGAAGAGAGGGGAAGCTTGGCTTTTATTGGCCTTGTGACCTCATGGATCACACAGTGACCAATAGTGGTTGGAAGTTGTGTCCAGGTGCAGGTTTAACACCTAGGTGTGAAGTTAAAGCACCCTAGCTGACTGAATTCTGGTAGCTCTCCTTTGTCTTCAGAACAAAGGAGACATGTGGTCAGGCTTTTGGTTACACATGTAGGTCCAACTATTGTTCACAAATACTAAGTCCCAACAGCACTAAATCACAACATTCATTATAAACAGGACTTTACTTGTAAGGTCGAGGCCCTAAATTCTGAACAAACCCAAAAGGCAACTGTGATAAGAAAAGAAAGTCCCTCTTAACTGGGGTATGTAATGATGTTATTAATGATAGATAGATAGATAGATAGATACTTTATTGATCCCGAAGGAAATTCAAGCATCCAGTGGCAATAACATACATTGAACATACATTAGACTTGACTTATGCATTCAAGTTAACTTATAACACAGTAACCATACGTTGAAATTGGCCTGAGATTAATGTAAATTTAAATGTGTACAGAGGAAATAAATTAATAGTTAACCCGTGCTCTTTACAAAAACTATATAAAAACTAGAAGGTAACTATAGAAATAAAAAATGTTTTATACAATTATAAACTATATTAAAAATATAAAGTGACCGTAGAAGATTGGGATAAATGGGGATAAAGGACTGTGCACAATTAAATTAGGCTGTAAACAGATGAGTGAAATGAATGAATGAGTGAAAGTCACACACACAGCATGTAGCAGAGGTAGTCAGACATGGCAATGACCGAGAGTCCAGGAAGTTGTGCAGAGAGATTAGTCCATTGTCTATTGTGCCTCCTGCCATCACTGAGAGCTGTTGTACAGTCTGATGGCCAGGGGGACGAAATAGTTCTTAAGTCTGTTTGTGGAGCAGGATTGAGACAGCAGTCTGCCACTGAATGCACTCCTCTGCCTGATGAAGGTGTTGTGCAGAGGGTGGCGGGCATTGTCCAGTATGGACAGCAGAGAGTCCAGCTCTGTGCCCACCACTGAGCCAGCTCTCCTCACCAGTCTGTCCAGTCGGGCAGAGTCCCTCTTCTTCCTGCTTCCTCCCCAGCAAACCACAGCCTAGAAGAGGACGCTGGCCACCACAGACTGGTAAAACATCTGCAGCAGTTTTTTGCAGATGCTGAAGGACCCCAGCCTTCTCAGGAAGTACAGACGGCTCTGTCGTTTCCTGTGGAGAGTGTCTATGTTTGCTGTCCAGTCCAACCTGTCATCCAGCTGCAGCCCCAGATATTTATAAGTCCTGACCACCTCCACATCGACCCCTTCGATGGACACTGGTTGGAGATAAGGTTTCTTCCTTCTGAAGTCCACCACCATCTCCTTGGTCTTGGAGGTGTTCAGCTGCAGGTGGTTGGACCTGCACCACCCCACAAAGACCTAAATCATGCTCCTGTACTCCCCAGGATCTTGAATTCTATTCAGAATTTTACAGGGAGCCAATGTAGAGAAGCTAAGACAGGAGTTTTGAAATGAAGGGCACGTTTGATATGGGTCTATAATTGGCTAAAACCTCTGGATCAAGAGTGGGCTTTTTAAGCAGAGGTTTAATTACAGCTACCTTAAAAGCTTGTGGTACATGGCTGGTTAACAAAGAAAATTGAATCTGATTGTCAATTAGAGGAAAAACGTCCTTAAAAAGTCTGGTTGTGATTGGGACTAGTAGAGAAGTTGATGGTTCAGTGGTGAAGTCAGTTCAGAAAGATCTATCAAAGAAAAGTAGTCCAAATATAAGTGCTAGAACTTTGCCACTTTCACCAGAATGTACACCTAACTGAGCACCACACACTTTGAATTGGTGATTTGGTTGTTTTTTTAAAACGGAAACAAATTAAACATATATACTCCTCAGTTTTTGATCAATTGACAACAAATTCACGAAACTGCAACTGCACATTAAAATCACAATGCATGAAAATGTTCTACTGGAGACACTACTGGAAATCCTCTTTATACAAATGTCTAATGTTCACAAAAAATATTTTCCACTTTTTGGAAGATGCAGTGTAAAAAATTGAATTGTATCTTGAAACTCAATTTTTTAAATGTTTTGAAATATATCATAATTTTACCTATGGCTGTCAATGCGAATACAGCATTTTTAAGATCAATTTCTCACTCATGGACCAATCTCTACATGTATACCTTCTAGATGAAGTACAGGAGTCATCAAAGTTTTATCTTGATAACTGATTTTTTTTACAGGTGTAGTAGCAGTACTAGTAGTCAGAAGTGAAATCTGACTTTACTACTTGCCCTGGAGACTGCCTTTAATCACAGCATGAAGGTATATCATGAGTGTGGTAATCTCCCCTGGCTGGAGCTCAAAATTATGTGCTGCCCTTGGTGTACCAGCAAACTAGGCTGCAAGTTCAAACCCTGGACAATGTACAATAGCTTTTCTAATATCTTTTCAAGCAAAATGCTGTGTGTTGTGGAAACACATGACTCAATCCAACTGCCATTTAAGCATGAATTATCACTCAATCTGTTATCCCTCATATTTTCAGCTCAGTTGACACAAAGCTTGCTGCACTGCATCCTTAGACAGTCCTCCACAATGATCCAGTCAGATTTATCAAAAACTGATCCCACAGTGCAACTTTAAACTGTTCTCATTTTCCTCTTCCACCACCTTTTTTCATCTCCCTCCTATTCCTCTTCAAAATGCCTGGCCCCAACCCATTGCTGCTAATAGCAGCTACAATATTAGCTGATCCTATTGATCCTATCCTGTGATCCATGAGCAAATGACAAATTCCGAGTCGTATTTTAATGTTGGGGCTTAATGACACCGCATAAGCAGTATGAAGGCATTTTCGGGGGGGTTTCTGTTAAGTTTAAAGAAGTGGTCACTGTTTACTTCAATCATATTGGATTTTGCTACAACACTATTTACACCTGAAACTATAAAAGTGTTTTGTGGCCTCAAATACTTCACCCACCCCTCCATCGGCATAGCGGTGAGTAGACAATAAGTGCATTTTCATTTTTGGGTGAACTATCCCTTTAAGGGATGATTCAAAAATCAGGGCTCAGAAACCAGATGTGACGGTACATCTGGACCGCCTCTCCGTGCTGCGTCCTCGCAACTGTGACGCGTGATGAATGGGCGGAGCTAAAATGGGAGGAAGCGAGTACAAAGAAGAATAGACGCTGTCGGTCGGAGACGGAAAGAAATCTTAATAGTTCCAACACATCAAAGAATAGAAAGACACACGCACGGAGGACGGAGTATGTACGTAAACCGATGTGTAATTTAATTGTCAAGCCTCAGATTTAAAAAAAAAAACCCGAATTGCCACTGATCAAGAGAGGAAACAGTCTTCTGGCAGATGGAGAAACAGAACGGAGCTGCTGGGGCGGCGGACGGAGCATGGCCGAACAGAAAGCACTGGAGCTCGTCGACCAGTGGAACATCCGCCGGTGAGACCCTGGACAGGTGAGCATGCTCCATTTTCTGAGAGGAATATGTGAGACCTCATATTGTGTATTTACAGTTGTGTGGCTATTCCTCCTATTTGGTGAACTCATAGGATGATATAATTAAAAAGATACGTTTAAAAGGAGTGTTGCTTATTCCGCTTTACTACTGGGTAAAGACTTCTTCAATATGCAGAGGTCATAACAGTAGATTTTTCTGATGGAGTTTGGAGTGCAGTACAGTACAGCAGCCAGTGTACAGCAACTAATAGTAAACAGACAAAAATCTGATGGTATTTAAATTGTTATTCTGTGTAGGAAGGATGAAACATTATGTATTGTTGGACCAAATTATCCTCTCTACCCGAGGCACAACGTTGATAGCAACCCCAGCTCACAGGGGCCTAGTTAACTGTCAAATAGCCAATGCTGATGTAGTTCACTGTAACGTCCTGCAGGTAGCGCTAATTCACAGCTATCCATTCATCACCATACGTTTTAAATAAATCTGTCGTTTTACCACAGTTTTTCCCGATTACTTAAACACTTCTGTCCACTGACATCACGTTTCTAATACAGTAAAAACAAAGGTTGAAACAGAAACACTCTGTTAAAACACACATTGTGTTTGTCTGTTGCAGGCATGTGTCCATGCACTGTGTTTGGCACTGTGTTTGACATGTAAGATTTACAATGATTGTGACTTAGAATATGATGCAGATTTTGCACTGCATCAGTGCCTCTTTGATCCATGTTTGAGAAAAGCAACTCAGAGGTTGCACCTTTTAAGTGAATAAAGACAGGTTGCATTACAGTTTCCTATTTATGCAAGTAATTTCTTCTAGCTTTGAATAGATGTTTTCCTTCTGTTTTTCTAGTGAAACCATTAAAGGTTTGAGACTTTGTATAAGATCTATGTGAGCTGTTAAAGAGGTTGTAAAAAGTGAAAAAGTGTTAATATTAAAAGATTATAAGATAAGACTTCTGCTGTGCTAAAAAGGTGATGATGAAGATTAAGTGATGTCTTACCTTGTCTCCTAATTGAGGGACCATGTCCTTTGGACTGAATGGTGTGGTTTTTGTAATGTCGTATTTTATGAAATGAAACTGGTGTGTCATGGGAAATGTATTTTCCATTCTTATCAGTTCTTTTTTTTGTCTCTGTTCAGTCCAACAGGTTCACATGTAGAGTGGTGTAAACAGCTGATAGCTGCCACCATCTCCAGTCAAATCTCAGGATCAGTCCCATCTGACATCATGAACAGGGATAACAAGGTAGCAAACACACACCAATCCACATAAATCCTGTGTTACATCAACAAGGTGTTATTAGGCACATAATAAACTAAGCAATATTTTAAAATATAAAACATAAAGAATAACTAGACCTAAAAGCAGGTATAAATGGGCCCTCACAGATTGGAGCATGTGCAGTGCCATCTCAGTCACTCACTGTTGGTGTTCCATCGAAAGTCACCCCATTGCCGTTCAATTTTAAGTTGTAAGTGTCACATCATTGCCTCACCAAAGTCTTAAAGCGTCCCTGACCAATTTTGAGGTGCATCAAATCAAAAAACTAAGCACTGCTTATCAAAGTACAAAACATGGTACTTCCTGTCACAGTTAGGGGACACTGCGACTGTTATTGTATATTGGCATAAAGATTTGGTCAGGGAGAAACCTTTATCACACATATGAAGTCTGACAGTGATGAGATCAAAAAGATTAAAGTTACAACTAGGGGTCCACTATGAGTATTTATATATGCATGTATTTATGTGTGTGCATGTGTTTATGTTGTGTTAGTAGGGTTAGTGAAATGTCTTTTATTGTGGTGCCTATGCATCACTGGAGCAGCAATTTTGATCTTGTTGTTTTCTTCTAATGCAATGATAATGAAGACTTTTCTATTCTATTATCATATGGATCTGTTCAAGATGGGACTTTTGACGAATCAGTCAATATACAGTACATGGACTATGTAAGCACTTCCAAAATGTACATGACCTTTCCTGTTACAGCTAGGGGGGCAGAACGACTATTATTGAATATTATCACATGGATCTGTTCAAAGCAGGACCTTTGTCGTATATGTGAGTGTTGAGGCAGATTGGATAGCTCTTCGAAAATCTGAAGGGGGCGCCATTAAAATAGTCAATTTTTAACAGACCTGACGCACTATTCAGCAGAATTCTTTTGTGCCACAGTAATCTTGTAGTCGGAAGTCAGAAGCAACAGAGGAGCTCAGATCCCACCAAAAACTCTTTGATAATAGGGAATGCCCAGCAGTCTACCCCAAAAACTACTTGTGACTTTCTTTCTCAGTTTTCTTGAGAGTATACTGACTACTAATTGCCTGTCTGTCTGCCTGGCTCTCTTATCTATCTAGCTGTAATTAATATACATTGTTATATATGTTTATTCCTGAAAACTCAAATTACTTTCTCTAAAATAACCAGAGTGCTTCCTTTGCCAAATCCAGTGAGTAAAATATCTGACTGATCAAGGTACTAATCACATAAAAGTGTATATATTATCAAAACTCAACCTTGATCATTGTGAGTCAGTGAGCATGAACATATACACAGAGTGTGGACACTGTGAAGTGTCAACAGACACTGAGGAGTGCGTGGCACTGAACAGGAACACGTTAATCTGCTGATAAGGTCATTCAGTGCAATGGGCTTATAACATAATTGATCACACTTTGGACTGGACTTAATGTAACCTCTTCATATGTTGTTGGTTGTTATGTGCATTAAGAATAGAGTGTTGGTATTTGGCACAGAGACTCTGACCTCTACACTGTGTACATAGATAAACCCAACTCAAGTACAGCAGGGAGCGGGAAGTGATGACAGCAACAGTATTCTACATACAGAATAATGTTTGTTGTATAATGTCTCTTTTTCTTTTTCCTTTTCCCCCATGCTGGCTTTACCCTGCAGCAGGATTTAGATGATGAACGGCTTTGTTTCCATGAAGAAAGTAATTCTGAGCATCCTTCCAATGCTTCGGCAAGTCTTTTAGTGTCTGTGCTTCCTCCTCCCCTTTGTTGTCACTCTGTCCTGCTCTGCATGTCTCATCCTACTCCTCTCTGATCCCTGCTGTTGTATATGTTGAACAATATATAAAACATGTTAATTGATTAGAAACATTCTAGGAAATGTAGGTTTTTTTGAGCTCAGCCCATAAAATCAAGATATTTGTGACTTTAAACTTAATGGAATTAACATCGAATCACATCTTGGATTCCTTTTGTTATATCCAGCATAATTGCCCATGGATCTTAAACTTAATTATATCTGCAATTGTGGTCAAAGAAAGATCAGACCTCTTGCAGATTATCTTTTTTTCTGAACCTTGACTATGCTTAAAAACAATTCTCTGTCCTATCTCATATTGGTCCCTCATTGTGACCATTCTCAGTGTAAAGCACCAGATGATCCCAAACAGCACTATTAATAGCTTTTCTCCATTGAAATAGGACCAATTACTGCATTGAGACACTTTATTTTGCCCATGCTGTCTTTGTTATAGTCTGTGGGAAACCAAAGACAGGTTCTGTATGATGACAAAAGATCAGCCGTGAGGTGAAAAGGACCAACACTTATGGCCATGTCTGTATCATTATTATTTTATTCCTCCCCCCTCATCAGAAGGCGTTTTGTTTAGAATGTCTCTGAGGAGAACATGGGTCTTCAGAGACCTGCAAAATCATATAGATTCTCATGGGACGGAATGATCTATCTTGTCAGCTACTAGAGCTGTATAAAACCAATCCGACACCTAGGAGAAATGTACCACAGACTGTCTGCATTGATCCTAGTTTCTTTGCTTGTTGGAGTTAATATTGATGCACTGGGTGTGTTAGCGGCAAGATAACTATACGTAGTTTTATACTTTTGTCCTTCCATTTGAATAAGTTTATCCTATGAAATTAAATATTTATTTGGAATGGGGAATAGGTAGTCAATAGATTTACCTTGTGACGGCTCCCCTCCCTCCCCTATGTCTCTCTCTGAGACTGGCACAGTCAGCTCTCACCAAAATTACTCTACACTGTTTTGTGGTGTGCCATGGCACACGAAGAAGGGTTCATGGGTTTTTATTGACTAGTAATAGCAAAACAACAATGTGCATACCAGAAGGTGGAACAATGTTTAAAGGCTAACAGAGTAACCAGAGCAATTGTCCACCCCAAGTCTGAAGAGGTCTCTCACAGCATCCCTATATATCCTGCTCTACTTGCATCACCCATTCTAACAGCACATCCATGAATGGCTAGAATTGCTGTCACTCTCATGTTGTTTCCTTACATCTTGCCACTGGTAAAAACTGCAAAGGAGTTGAAGTTGGTGCCTTTCTGTCTGGGGCATCTGAGTTAGATATGAAAATCCCTAAGCATAGACACTACAATGCACTGTTGTTTGGTCCTTTATCTATAACCTGACCTTGGGTACTGCTTAGAGAGAGAAGGGAGTATCTGTGGAATTAGCTAGGCACTCTTCTCTTATACAGCTATAATGTAATGTACAATATACATAATACAGTATATAGTGGCATATACAGTAATGTGTGAGGATAGTCAAAAAATCCTCAACAGTTCCCCCCTTTTGATCATGAGATCAACACATAGAGACATATTTCTTGAATGTAATAGAACAATTCTTGAGTCAAAACAGTCTGATTAGGAATTGTAATCACAACATCAGGATTTCATCTGTCTTCTTTCTTTTATATCCTTTTTTTCCAGCTTCAGAATGATCATCATTGATAAGTATTCTCAATATATTGTATATTAAGGACTAGTGATACATAAAGAGAACTTCCAGGTATATTGAAACGCACAATAGAAATCAACATACATCAACATTTCAACTAATACAAGTTATTTCAAACCCAAAATTACATTCAACCCATTATTATTCAATTCAGTTCTGTATAGTTCTTGTATAGCACCAAATTTTCCTTCTAATTCAGCGTTGGGACTCTTTTCTCATATCTATGTTTTCTAGGGAGATAGACACCTGCACTCTGTCTCAAGGAGAGGAGTCATTGTCTCAGAAAACATAATGAAATCATCAACCTCAAATCATCAAAAAATAAGCCAAAGACCAAAACAAACAGATCATATGTTCCTCTCAAAAAAGCATTGCAGGCAAGCTGAATTACACATTTGTACTTAAGGACAAATACCTTTTTCAACCACATATTTAATAATCTTATCTATCTGTTCAAGAGATAAAATGCATCAAAAAGATCAAATCCTATTTGAAAATGTAGTAGTCTAACTAAGTGTTTGGAATTAAAGTCTGCAGTACTGTTGCTAGCTCTGACTTAGATATTTTATAATGTCCACCAGATTGTATTTGTAAGAAGCAACCTTCTACATCAGTGTTGGAGGGGAAATAAAAGTTGCA